CACATTGATGGCATGGTGTCCATAAATACTGAACACCATGAACACATTGATGGCATGGTGTCCATAAATACTGAACACCATGAATACAGTGATGGCATGGTGTCCATAAATACTGGATACCATGAATACAGTGATGGCATGGTGTCTATAAATACTGAACACAGCGATGGCATGGTTTCCATAAATACAAAACACCATGAACAGTGATGACATGGTGTCCATACATACTAAACACCATGAACACATTGATGGCATAGTGTCCATAAATACTGGATACCATGAACACAGTGATGGCATGGTATCCATAAATACTAAACACCATGAACACAGTGATGGCATGGTGTCTATAAATACTGAACACCATGAACACATTGATGGCATGGTGTCCACAAATACTGAACACTATGAATACAGTGATGGCATGGTATCCATAAATACTAAACACCATGAACACAGTGATGACATGGTGTCCATAAATACTAAACACCATGAACACATTGATGACATGGTTTCCATAAATACTAAACACCATGAACACAGTGATGGCATGGTGTGCATAAATACTGAACACCATGGACACAGTGATGGCATGGTGTGCATAAATACTGAACACCATGGACACAGTAATGGCATGGTGTCCATACATACTAAACACCATGAATACAGTGATGGCATGGTGTCCATAAATACTGGATACCATGAACACAGTGATGGCATGGTGTCCATAAATAATGGATACCATGAACACAGTGATGACATGGTGTCCATAAATACTGAATACCATGAACAGAGTGATGACATGGTGTCCATACATACTGAACACAGCGATGGCATGGTTTCCATAAATACTGAACACCATGAATACAGTGATGGCATGGTGTCCATAAATACTGAACAACATAAACGGAGTGATGACATGGTGTCCACACATACTGAACACCATGAACATAGTGATGAATGGTGTTCATAAATACTGAACACCATGAACACAGTGATGACATGGTGTCCATAAATACTGAACACCATGAATACAGTGATGACATGTCCATAAATACTGAACACCATGAACACATTGATGGCATGGTGTCCATAAATACTGAACACCATGAATACAGTGATGACATGTCCATAAATACTGAACACCATGAACACATTGATGGCATGGTGTCCATAAATACTGAACACTATGAACACATTGATGGCATGGTGTCCATAAATACTGGATACCATGAACACAGTGATGGCATGGTATCCATAAATACTAAACACCATGAACACAGTGACGACATGGTGTCTATAAATACTGAACACCATGAACACATTGATGGCATGGTGTCCACAAATACTGAACACCATGAATACAGTGATGACATGGTGTCCACAAATACTGAACACCATGAATACAGTGATGACATGGTGTCCATAAATACTGAACACCATGAATACAGTGATGACATGGTGTCCATAAATACTGGATACCATGAACACAGTGATGATAAGGTGTCCATAAATACTGAGCACCATGAACACATTGATGGCATGGTGTCCATAAATACTGAGCACCATGAACACATTGATTGCATAGTGTGCATAAATACTGAACACCATGAACACAGTGATGACATGGTGTCCATACATACTAAACACTACGAACACAGCGATGGCATGTTGTCCATAAATACTAAACACCATGAACACAGTGATGACATGGTGTCCATAAATACTGAACACCATGAACACAGTGATGACATGGTGTTCATGCATACTAAACACTACGAACACAGCGATGACATGGTGTTCATGCATACTAAACACTACGAACACAGCGATGACATGGTGTCCATAAATACTGAACACCATGAATACAATGATGGCATGGTGTCCATAAATACTGGATACCATGAACATAGTGATGGCATGGTGTCCATAAATACTGAAAACCATGAACATAGTGATGGCATGGTGTCCATAAATACTGGATACCATGAACATAGTGATGGCATGGTGTCCATAAATACTGAACACCATGAATACAATGATGGCATGGTGTCCATAAATACTGGATACCATGAACATAGTGATGGCATGGTGTCCATAAATACTGGATACCATGAACATAGTGATGGCATGGTGTCCATAAATACTGAAAACCATGAACACATTGATGGCATGGTGTCTATAAATACTGAATACCATGAACAGAGTGATGACATGGTTGTCCATACATACTGAACACAGCGATGGCATGGTTTCCATAAATACAAAACACTATGAACAGTGATGACATGGTGTCCATACATACTAAAATACCACGAACACATTGATGGCATGGTGTCCATAAATACTGAACACCATGAACACATTGATT